GAGCGCGGCGCCCCCAGCCATCTTTATACAGCCATGTAAATCCTCCTGTACACACGAACACGGAATATATACATATATAACTCAATAAACAGAATCATTAGTGCGTCTTTTCTTCCCCCCCGCCCTCGCCGCGAGTCAGCTCACACACCCCAAAGAAGGAAAAGGAAATAGGCGTTTATAGCGTTTCCCGGCCCAAATGCGACTTCCTCTGGGGCACTGGGACCAGGGCAAGGCCAAACCGTTGCTCGTGCGGCGCTAGCGTGTACATATGCCCCAGGAACCAAGGCTCAAAGGCCTTCACCGGCCCCTACGTTGTACCAAGTTTTTGTTCGGTAACTGTTCTGACCGAGGGATTCTGGGTGTTGCCTTATCTGGGTGAGAAAATTGCAAAAAGAAGGGGTTAAAAGTGGCTGGGTGTCGGAGAGCAGGTCTTGGGTGCGTGTCCTGGAGCCAAGAGCCGCGCCGCACCGCACCGGGGTAAACGGCCAGGGCGCTGCTCCGCCGGGGCGCTTCTGGGCACATCCCATTCTCTGGGTGACCTAAGGGGAGCCACGCTTCCACCCAATCGTTCCTGGCGGCCAAGTGTCCCAGCCTGTCCGGACCTCGGGGGCTCTCCGGCCCGCGCTGCGGTCTGGGGCCGGCCTCCGGGGGCTTGCGCCCTGCCGCGGGAGGGCGCACCCGGGCTCCCGCAGCTCGCCGCCGCCGCAGCCCCCGGCGTCTTGATTACGGCGCAGTTAGCCCATTTCCTGAATAGCCATCTCCGCCGCCGAGCACGCTGATGAAATGGTCTCACGCTTGCTTTCTAAGTAATGACCCAAATTAAGAGAGAAAACAGAGACCCTTCAAACAGCATTACATTAATCATCTAATCATTCCCAGGAGGGGGCCGGCCGCCGCCGCCGCCCCGTTTGATCCGAATCTGGATAATCAAGAGCTCGGATTACTGGCTCGGCGCGCCGGGCCTTCTCCCGCTCCCCCACCCCTAATATTCGCGCCGCGATTCAGCCCACGTTTTCTGGAACAATGTTCCCTAGCGCCGGGAGGAAATGTGGCGCGGGGCCGGGGAGTGCGCTTCCACGCAGCCTCGCCATTGCAAGGGCTAGGGCGGCGGCGTCTGGGCGCTGATCCCACGCGGATTTCCACTGCAGGTGGAGGCTACTGGGAGAGATGGTTAATGCAAAGGGAAATCCCCCAGTAACTCTGAAAGTGACTCGAGTGAGGTTTATCCCAACGCCCGGTATACAGTAGGCGCTCAGTGCTGCTTGCGCAAGGGGCTCCCATCATCAAAGAAGCTCGCATTTCCCGAGCACTTGCTCCACGCCAGACACTCAAAGCACATTCTTTCGAATATTCACAACCCGCAAGCTGGGGATGATTTTTCCCACCTTGTGGAAGGACTGAGAAACTGAGGACAAGATAAAAGCTAAATGACATGCCTCGGGTCACAGGACTAGGTAGGGTCAGGGTTCGAAGTCTAGGCTTTTAGAAAACTCAAACTGCCTTCAGTCCTCGTCGGTGGAGGAGGAATATCCCGATTGGGACTCGGGAAAAGACACGCGGCTGCCGGGTGGACGCTCTGTCCAGGTCACAGCCAAAGGTTGGTCCCCACCCCCAGCCCAGTTCGTACACCCATTGCGCGGGGAAGGAGAATTGTCGATTTTGTTTGCACAGAGGACAGCGACAGCTTCCTCAGGCTGTCGCGGGGGTATTTTTAGTACCTCCGATTCAGAAATAGGAACGTGTACATTAGAATTCCATTTCCTGAAAGGAGAGCGTCCTCGTTTTTTTTGTGTTCCTCTCCCCCTCCCAAGTCTGGGAAGACGCAGCCAGGGGAGGGGGGGGCGAGGAAGCGAGGAGGAATTTAAATGTTAGCTCGTTCTGGCTGCATTTCGCTGAGGGAAGATTGGGACCCAGAGCGATATGCAGATTTAACTCCGAAATCTCGGTGGATGCCACAAACCCCAGGAAACCCCACAATGGGCAAGGAGGACTTGGCGGCTAAAGATATGGAAATAGCGCCTTGCTCTTCCCAGACATCTATCCCCAGGGGGCTTGCGGGCTGGTTCGAAGAGTCCGCTCCTTTCCTAGTTATCTTACTAGGTTTTATCAGCCCCGCCTCATAGACACACACCCCTCCCCCATTTCTGGGAGCTGTTGGGTGCCCTCCGACAGTTGTCTCAACCAAAAATCCTTTACTTCTTGCATCTCTGAAAGGATCCTTGGCAGATACGCTTCTTGGAGGCCAGACAATGGCCAGGGCAAGCCCACCTTCTTGCTAAACAGTTCCAGAACTTTGGGCAAGGGGCAGACACAACAAAATTTAGTGCAAAAGCATCCTCTTGGGGAATTCTTAGACAACTGCGTTAAAAAGTTGGCCTGCATATGGGAATCGTGATTCACTACTCCTCTTTCTCTTTAAGAAGAAAGGATAAATAAAAAATAGATGGGACGCTCCCGTGCAGGGAAATAACTTTCTAACCATCAAGTAAGAGAACCTTCTCTGAGGAACTTCTGTAATGTTTTCACAGGAGAAAGACTAAAAGGGTTGCCCATCTCATAAACCGGAGAAATTTATTTCCAGGTGACAGTTCTGAAGAGGGTTGAAGATCCCATGCTTGCAAACGACAGCAAATGAAATAAAACCAAAGCGTGGGGGAGGAGGCATTTCCCTCCTGGACTGCTCATTTCTGTCTGCCGTCGGGGAGAGGTAAGGAACCGGGGCTCTGAGCTGAACCTGGGCAGAGTTACTGGAATACTCCAACCTCCTTGAGCTTGTTTCCTCCTAACCGATTGTTCCTTAACCTTCACACCAGCGCCTGTCAATCGCTCTCACCTGAGAAGGTGTTATTTCACATCTGGTGGTAATTGTAGATAAACAGAGCCCTTCCCTGTTAGCTCAGTTTTCCCCAGGTTTGAAGTCCCCCCTCCTCGGGTTAAGATGTCTGCTTCCTTCAGCTGTGGGATTCAAGAAAGGATTCCTTCACCTGAAAAGTAGTGCGGAGAGAAAAGGAACCTTCTGTCTGAATGACTAAACACCTTTCACAGCCAGTGCAGGTTCTGACACCCACGCTAAGCCGTTGTAAGTAACCATCCTAACTGGGGTACTTCTTAGTTATTTATTCCCCATGCATCGGAATTGATGGGTGAAAGGCTCTGTTTTCTGATTTTTCCCCCTCTTAATATTAAACTGTTTGCATCACTCGTAGTTTCCATTATTAACAAATGACTTAAACAAGGTAGTCATCAGCCGCATACTAATATTCTAACCTTGATTAAATTGAAGAGGCCTCCCTTTAAAAATATTTTTAAAAAATCAAATTGCGGGGGAGGGGAATCCTGTCACAGACACAAAAAAGACTCCAATTATCTTTTCCCCTACAAGATGTTTGTTCTGTCCATGACTGCTCACACTTCAGCAATCTTGCCAGCAAGACTCAAAAAAAAAAAAAAAAAAAAAAACCCCCCCTTCTTCCAAAGCCACAGCCTTGTACATAACAGATTGTACAGTCCTATTGCCTTAGGCGGGTAAGAGGTTCCTCTCTGCTAAGAGCGACACAGAGAAGTTGCCAGCATCCAGACGCATTTTGGGGGGCACTGTGCTCACTCTTGCCTCGGCTGCAGAAGTGTGCCTGTAAGGTCCCCATTTTGCTGTTTGGCTCCTAAGAGGATAGGGAGCTGCCTGAGCCAGGCCCAAGAATCACAGCAACAAGGCATCCAGGTGTGCAGGTGGTGAATGAGCTGGGGGGAGGGGAGGGCCCGAATAACAGTGAGGGTTAGTTGGGGGGTGCTGCCAAAGAGAGGACAGGAGTCTTGAGAAAATGCTGGGAAATAAACAACCTCGAGGCAGCTGCGTTGCCCTTTTCCCTGCACTTCCCTCTGAAACGTCTGAGCAACCAGTTTGCTCCTAGAAACATGTTAATTGCCAACGGAGCTCATTAAGGCATGCACATGCAAAACACAGCAAGAAAGATTAAATGGACAAAAGCGCAATAATGAACTGTCAACAATCGGGCCCATCTACGCGACCAGGATCACTCAAGAATGAGGCATTTAGAGGCAACAAAGGATTGTCTGAGACAGGAAGAAAAGACGACCTAGACTTTTGTTTAGTCAACACAATTGATTACAAATGAGAGATTAACAGGATAGCTTCAGATTTTTTAAAAAAGAGGCAGAAAAGAAAAGTCCAATTAAGTCCACCGAATGTTAACTACATTGCGTTCCATGCCTAGCCCCAAAGAAATTCTCATTAAACCATCCCTGGCGATCCCTTTTGGAAAGTAATTTGTCTCCCTGATGGAGCAGAGAAAGAGAATCGTGTAAAAGAAAGCGTTAGTTCTTGGCGCAATGAGCTTAGGAGACACACTAGAAAGAGCCAAAGGGGGAGTTAATGAGCATCTGACAAACTGCTTGGATTCAGGCCTAGAGAACAGCGATGAAAAGATGAAATTGGCCAACAACTATTCTTTATATCAAACATAAAAAGGCCAATCTGAAATGGGGCTGCTCAAAACTGGTTGAAAGTACATAGCCCAAGAAAAGGGAGCCACAGCCAGGCCCCTTGGTGGACACT